TTGAAATTTTTTTAATGCTGAAAAGATTTTGAATTATTGTTCATAAAAAAAAAAACAAGCAATTGCTTTTATTTATTGCTTTTCATTATTGTAAATATGAAGAATTCTTGTACATTTTATGTACACTTAGGTTAGAGTCTGTTCTGCGTAGTGTAGGTTCAACGGGCTACAATTGATTATGTCAGTAAAAGCAGCAAAAATACTAAATGTTAACTGCAAATGTAATTGGAAGGGAAAAAAAGATGCAACATACAAAAAAAATTATATCTGGAACAATAAATATGTCGTCAGGTCTACAAGTTGAACAAGAGGTTGCTTTATCAAAAATAAACACAGATTTTCGTCGATAAAAAACTACTGTTTCATCCTCAGACCATCCCTCAACATTATTTGACTGATATTCACTGAAATTCCTTCACATAATATTGCCAATACTTAAATGCAAATTTTTGACCAAAACAAATTGAGAAAACCAGCTTTAGGCTAAGTCATACTGGAAATAATTGTTTAACACAAAATTTTGACGACGTTGTAGGGTAAGAAAAGATCGCTTGTTGTGAACTAAATGAATACAGGAAGAATAGTTACTACTACGAGAATAGTAATCAACATTAGGATTATATTAAAAAAAATCAGATTTTATTTTAAGAAAAACTTAAGAAAATTTTTTATCTGGAAGACTAATTACCGATATGAATATGGACCTTTCTCAAGCATATCTGGATAGGCACCTCGATGCTGCATTTCCAATGAATTAGTATAATTGTATACCCAATATTGCATATATGTTAAGTATTCAGGATTCTTCCAAGTTCGTGTAATTGTATTATAAGAACCATCATCATTATAACCAATAACTTTTTCCTAATAATTTGACTAATACTGCTTGACAATCATCTTTGAACTACTGTTATGAATTTATATTAACATTAAAAAATACAATTCTGTTTGACTATTTGTTGCTACAATTTTTATTGCCAACAATCTTCTGCAGGTTACCAGTAATTGAGAAAACATTACGAGAATATAAAAAGACAAGTTTAAATTGTACAAATATATCAAATGCATATAAATATGCACAGCAATATATGAAACAAACCTTTAATACTTGATCATGAACTATATCAGGTAAGATTTTTTTCATAACCACTAAGCCAATAACAATTAGTACTAAACCAACTAGAAATAAAATTATTGCCCAAGTAAAGGAACATATTTGTCTTTTGGTTAACCGTGTAGTCATTATCTGTAAAATAGAATCTTAGATTTCACTCATTTCTTGTTTAAAAAACGATAGCCATTTAGCATATTTGTTGAAAAACTTCTGTTCATCGAACAACCAACACCAAAACGCATAATTATTAACAGCGGCAACTGCACATCAACATCGGCATCAGCATCAGCATCAGCATCAACAACAACAACAACAGCACTAGCAATAGCAGCGTTCAGTTAAGGCTAGAAGAAAAAAAAAAAAACAAGCGACGATTTGTTATTCAAATTAATTTGATGTATAATCTTAAAAATAAATTAACTTCAACCAATAATGCCTAATTATACTTAATACTTTATTTTGTATTAAAAAAAAATGCTCTTCACCGTAACTGTAATAAAGTTGTTCTTTTTTTTTTCATTAATGAAAATGAATCACAGTTTTAACA